CTGTAAGAAAGATCCAAGAATACTGTTAAATCATGGTACAAGTCCATAGTTTGTTTATATGGTTTAAAACTTGTAAGAGCACGTTTATCTTTCCCATCATTAGACATACCACTAACATTCACAGTCAATTTGCCAGAAGTATGTAGAAACCATTCTAGGTGAAGGAAAACATTTTCAGAATGCTTTAGCAGAAAAATATTTTAATCAACTTTAAAAACACACTTAGATGTGAAAGCCTTTGGATAAGAAAATGCAAATACAAGTATCCAGATGCTTCTTTGAAAAGAAAATAGGATAGAGCACCATTGTGTAAAAGACAGAAAAGGTCTGAAATATCTACCAAGTATATCATCACTGAAGTTCTAGTAATGAAGAAATAAATACTATATGATGTAAGATTTTATTGGGTACATTTAACACCAGTTGAAACATAAGTTTTTTTCCATAATGCTGCATTGTAACTACTTTTTACAAAATCAGTAATTAGATTTAGGAAAACAGACGCAGGAAATTTTACCAACATGCAAATGTTTCCTAAACACAAGGTGTACCATCAATTTGTGATTAATAAATTACTTTTTAAACAAAATGATAGCTTAGACATTCTACTATAAACCATTTTAATGAATCCCTATTATTGTAACCAGTATTTTAAAATATACACTGAATGTGAGGGAGGCAATTCAAAATGAACAATAGAAGGAAAACTAGTAAATCTGAAGTATACTTCACATTCTACTTAGTCGGATTCAAAATAGCAATTTTGGCTGGGCACAGGGCTCATGCCTATAATCTAAGCATTTTGGGAGGCTGAGGCAGGAGTATTGCTTAAGCCCGGGAATTTGAGACCAGCCTGAGCAACATACTGAGACTCCTTCCCCCCAAAAAATAATTAGATGGGTATAGGGGCATGTGCCTGTAATCCTAGCTAACTGGCATGCTGGGTCTGGAGGATCATTTGAGCTCAAAAGCTGCAGGCTGCAGTGAGCTATAAAATGTGCCATCCCACTCCACCTGGGTGACAGAGTGAGACTCTTATCTCTAAAAAAAATAAAAATAAAAGAACAATTTTATTCATTGTGCTATTTTATCTATAAGAAAGATGGTCTAACCTGTGGGTGTCTTTAAAAAAATTCTAAGAAGAGTTAAGAAATTAAAGCAAAAATTAAATGTTTGCTTCCCACAATGGCAAAAGAGAAAGAAGTTGAACATAGTACTTAATTAAAAAAAATTTTTTTAAAAGCCTGACTCTGAAGATTTGAGAACATCTTTACTGTTAAAATAATGCAATCCCACTGGAGGGACTGTTTAATCAGTTTCCCTAAGTTTAACACATCAACAATGAGCCATAAGTGTTCAAAACTACATTATAATTTGATATCTGAGACATTCACATCAAAGCATAAATTTCCCTGAACATTTCAAAACACTTAAGGTCTTATTATTAAATCTAAAATATCAAAAGTGTCTGAGGAGCTCAGTTGTATAATATTGGCACAATGATTTTAAGCAATAATAAAAGTTTCATTTTCTCAGCTGGAGAAGTCAAGATCCACTTCTCTTTTAATAGGTTAACTTTAAAATTCCTTAACATTCTGGAATCACCTAAATCCATTATTTCATGGATATGATCATCATGCAATAGTCAGTTCACCTGAGTCTAAATTAAAATGTAGGTAATTTCTCTCTTGCTCTTGAGATATTGAGTACAAATCTCTGTGTGAAGATGAAATTCAATATGGTTTAAGTTTAATCACAGTTGAAAATTTAAGTTGGGGATCTTGCTCTTGCTTTGTGAACCTATCTTGTCCTTCCTCAAGAAACTTCTTTTCACGCTTGAAAAAAATAATAATAAATAATAAGATAAAAATTTAAGCTAGGGAGGAACCTTGGATGTTCAGTCGAAATCTCTAACAGTATAGCTACCGAAAATGAGACCTGTCCATTCAAGTGGAGGAGATACCCTTGTTGATAGCAAGAATTGCTTTCTTTTTTTCTTTGAAACAGGGTCTCTGTTCTGTCACCTTTGGTAGAGCGCAGTGGTGTCATCACAACTCACTGCAACCTCAACCTCCTAGGCTCAAGTGATCCTCCTGCCTCGGCTTCCCAAAGTGCTAGGATTACAGGGTGTGAGCCATGGCGCCTACTCAAGAATTGCTTTCTTGAGTGGGTTTCTGGGTTGATTTGCTAAACCACATGGTGATCACATTTTAGAAAAAAATATGTAACACTGAAATATTCTTGCCAGGTCTCAAAAAACTACTCTTTCTAATGTGCTATAGTCTACAGGTCAACCTGCTGAGGCACATTATGTTAAACTATTCCTTATAAAGAAGAAAAATTAATTGAGACCAAATACATGTAACATTTTTGATGATACAAATTCTTTAAAACCAAATCCAGCCATATTTTTTAGCCTTGAAAAACTAAGATCCAAACTACATAACGTCTCTACAAATTATATACTCTTACTGATTTTAGGAAGTCTTATGCACAATAACAGAATTAAATAGACAATCAGCTCAATTCAAACTGCAAGTAAATTAAGTATATTTAGTAAGTGGAACTGCTATCACCAGAAAGCAAAGAATTAACCAGTTAGTTAATTAATGTGGTAGTGAAGTTACTTGTCACTATTTGGTCATATGTTTAATTAGCCACAAGTGTTCAATAGAGGTTTTCAGTTGCCTAGTACATATTTAATTAGGGGAATTGCTTTAAACTCTTCCACACAATCTTTAATAACATGAAAATGTCATTTTAAAATATGTTAAGACCATATAATTCTTGTGGTCTGTATGTCTCTCTGACTAAAGTATCTTGTTACTACAATAACTTTTAAGTAGAAGCGATGCTCTCATATATATGAGATTATTTTATACATAGAAGTGCTTTCTTGAACAGTATTTTAGAATGAATTTGGTGAACTACATGGCAAACTTCAATCCCCCCACTATTTTGGAAATGAATATGTTCCTTTAAAAAAATTTTGCCTTATCTCAAAGAGCTGCTCTTTATGAAGTGATATAAATAGCCCACAAATAAACATTAATAGCAAAAAGTTCACAGAAATCTTAACCAAAATACAAAAATACATTCATAACTGCCATTATAATGTTTTGTTTTGGTCCTCTATCTTAATTTGCTTTTATCCTTTTTATTCTAATTGTCAACTCACCTTTAATAAAACTGATACTGACTTCATTACGTATTAGTACAGTCACAAAAGTGAAAATTTACAGGTAAAATTTGGGAGTATTTAGGTTAGAGTTACAGTGATCAAAAGTTAACACAGGCGCGGTGGCTCACGCTGTAATCCTAGCACTCTGGGAGGCCGAGGCAGGCAGATTGCTCAAGGTCAGGAGTTCGAAACCAGCCTGAGCAAGAGCGAGACCCTGTCCCTACTAAAAAAAATAGAAATTAATTGGCCAACTAATATATATAGAAAAAATGAGCCGGGCATGGTGGCACATGCCTGTCGTCCCAGCTACTTGGGAGGCTGAGGCAGGAGGATTGCTTGAGCCCAGGAATTTGAGGTTGCTGTGAGCCGATGATGCCATAGCATTCTAGCCTGGGGGACTGAGTGAGACTCTGTCTTAAAAAAACAAAAATGTGCCCCCAAAACAACAAAAAAACAGACCTATCTGAAGAGCAACTTACTAAGTTACAAAACATGATGCACTCTATATAGTAGAATAACCCATGACTTCACCATTTTAAGCAAGACTAACAATCTTCTATTGTTTTTAGATTCATTTGTAAGGGAAAATCCAAGAGGGAAACTATCTTTGTTTAATGGGGGGGAATGGGGGGCATTCTCGTAACAGACACATTATTATACCATTGACAAGTAGAGGAATTGCTAATATATTCCTCTGACTCCTTTAAGAACTGCTTTAGGAATTTTTCTTTTGTTTTTAAAGTGGAATCACTTAGATCTACTCATTCTTTGAAGCAAAACCACTTTAGAACCCAGTATTTTGTGCTAAGGGAAGAAAATTACAGAAGAACAAAAAGATTAAATGTTTCATTTTAAGAAATTTGAAGGCACATATTTTACATCAACTCAGATTTTATATTACATGAACATAAAACCCATAAAGCCACCTTATTACAATTGCAACAAATCAGTACTAGTGATTAGTTAGATTTTACTTCTTTCAAAATGTAACACTGTCACACTATATTTTCTATCTAGTATAAACTGATAGAGAACACTGCGGAAAATTCTTCAGATGCAGGGTCAATCCAAACGTTTATCTAACTTCTGAAATATGAGTATACTCATAAACTTAGTTCTAGAATATGAAATCAATAGGAAAGTCCAACTATTTAAAGGGCTACCAAAAGTGTCAATTGATCAAAACCAGGCTTTTAAAATACCAAGAATCATTTAAATGCTATTATTATCTACTTTTTATGAATATGATAAATTCTAATGAAGTTCCTTATGTATGTCTAATATATCAGAGTGACATTTCTAATCCCTGCTCTTTAGATTATTGTCCCCTCCAAGGACTGAAAATGAGCACTTATTTAGATTGACATTATGGCAAAGGATGTATGAGAGACTAATGAGTTGCCTCAGAGGCACGTAGCCTGTCAACAGTCTTAAACATTAAAGTCATAAGGATCTCCTTTAGATTAAAAGGAATGTCAGAATTCAAGGGGACTTTCTTGAAGCATAAGTACACACACACAGAAGACTGTTTCCATCCACTACTCTGCCTGGTTCTTCCATTACAAAACTCAAAAATATGACATTTCTTGTGTATACAAAGTTAAAAATGTAGTCCTTAAAAAATTCAAACGAACACAGTTACAAGCTGCTATAATACGTACATTCTGTTCTACACAAAGAAAATAATTAGACTTTGAGTACACGCAATAATTCATCAAGGTTAAATTAACGCAACTCCTCAGATTAATACACTGGTCCTATTAATCTCACCAGGCACTTTTGCCTTGTTTTGTGTTTTTTTTTTCCCCCCACTTTTTTTGTAGTTTACTGAAAGCTTCTTTTTGTATATAATAATCTCAATAGAAAAATCTTCACCTGCAAATATAAGGTAGAATTTTTTCACAGCTATAGGCTGTAACATTGATTTCTCCAGATACCAATGGAGAACAGAAAATATGTATGACACTCTTAATTCCAGATTCTAAGAAAACTGTCCCAAGAGCCTGTAGCCACAGCCATGCCATCGTCAGTTACACCTAAGCAGCTGACACGGTTGTCATGACCAGCAAGGACACCTGAAAAAAAAATTCAGTATAAAGTTAGCAATTATAGAGTTTTAATATTAAAGAAGTATATGTATAAATATCTAGAAGGGTACTTTAACAGTTCAGTTTGATAGCTCATCAGTAAAAATAATTAAATTTAAAAAGCAGCAAAAATTAAAAACTAACAGGTTCTTCCGAGTGGTAAGGGGTATGTTGGACATGTAGATAAAAGACACCTTTTTGAATTACTTGAATTTTTGACATGCACATCAATTTGTTTTTAATTTTTTTTTTTTTTGAGCAGAGTTCTCACTTTTGTTCCCAGGATAGAGTGCCGTGGCATACGCATAGCTCACAGCAACTCAAACTCTGGGCTCAAGCAATCTTCTGCCTCAGCCTCCCGAGTAGCTGGACTACAGGCATGCGCCATCATGCCAGCTAATTTTTTTTTTTTTGAGACAGAGTCTCACTCTGTTGCCCAGGCTAGAGTGAGTGCTGTGGCGTCAGCCTAGCTCACAGCAACCTCAAACTCCTGGCTCAAGCAATCCTCCTGCCTCAGCCTCCCAAGTAGCTGGGACTACAGGCATTCGCCACATTGCATTGGCTATTGTATATATTAGTTGGCCAATTAATTTCTTTCTATTATATAGATACGGGGTCTCCTGTTCTGTTGCTCAGGCTGGTTTCGAACTCCTGACTCGGCAATCCGCCCGCCTCGGCCTTATTTCTATATATTATAGCTGGCCAATTAATTTCTTTCTATTTATAGTAGAGTCAGGGTCTCGCTCTTGCTCAGGTGGTTTCGAACTCCTGAGCTCAAACGATCCGCCACCCTCGGCCTCCACAGAGAGCCTAGGAATTACAGGCGTGAGCCACCGCGCCGCTGTTTTAACTTTGAAAATAATTTTATTAATTAAGTTTTGTTTTATCTAGGAAACAGATGTTGACATTATTCCAATACTCTGATACAGTTCACGATATTCAGATTTTGTAACTGCAGCTATCTATTCAACAAAAAACTTTTTTTTTTTTTTTGAACAGAGTCATCTCTCTGTTACGGGCTAGAGTCCATGGTGTTAGCTCCAGCTCACAGCACCTCAAACTCCTGGCGCTCAAATCATGCTGCTCAGCCTCCGATAGCTGGACTACAGCATGCGCGCATGACTGGCTAAATTTTCTATATTTCTAGTTGATCATATAATTTCTTCCTATTTTTATAAGATGGGTCGTCGTCTGCTCAGGCTGGCTTCGAACTACTGACTCGACATCCTCCGCCTTCAGCTCCCAGAGTGCTAGGATTACATGTATGAGCCACCATGCCCGGCAACAAAAACAACAAAGAAGAGTGAAGTTGTCTTATATCACCACTTCCAAAAATACCAACATAATTTACTTATTTCTATTAACTAAGAAAAACTGGGATGTTGTTGTTTATTATATAACAGCTTTGTGAAACCATCAAACTTATCTAAGTTTAGTTTCTTTGCATATTAAAGTTAAACTTGACATCCTGATTACCACATAGGATAATATGAGATATTTCAATATTTTGGAGGAAAATGAGAAATATAAAGATTAAAAAGAAAAACTGGAGAATATCAAATTCTCAAAAGATTTTTTAATATACTGTGTTTGAATTTGCATTATCTCTATATATGTGATAAGCATATCATTTTCACTCTATCTCAGGAATAGAAAAGTTCATCTCATCTAACTCTTAATATCTTCTGCAGTATTTCCAATATGGCAGATTGACAATGGGCAAATTTACCATTATTGGTTGAAATAACAAAAAATGAACACTATGGCTAAATAGTCCAAGAAATACTGGGTAGGAGAATGAATGAGCAATTCACGAATCAGAATTCAGTTTAAGGTGAAAGTCCCAGTTGAGCCAACTTAAAACCAGCTGTATGCAGCAGTGAAACGAAAATAGGGAAATGTTAAAAATGTGCAAAACACATTTTATTGTGTTATGCATACTAGTTATTCAATCCAGGCAAAACACCTAATATTTTAAAAAATATTTGGCTTTGGGCAACAGAATATTTCCAAAAATCTACTTGCAAAGTGTAAAACTGAACCATGCAGTTTCTTAAGAGAGGGTATAGAAAATTATTCCTGGGAATGTTGACACTGCCTGTCCTCCCTCAGAAACCACAAGAACTGTCCAGGGGTTTAAAAGGGTAAGGCCATAAATTCACAAGGACAGTGAGAAGATGAGAGCAAGCAATGGCAACAAAATTTTGTAAGCTGGATGGTGGCAACTGTGTTAGTGAACTCCAAAATGCTGAGTTCAAAATGAATGATCTTGTAAGCCAAGAAACAATTATACTGCAGAACCTCCAAATGTGTCCCTACTAGAGGAACCAGGTATCTCTGGAACCAGGTAGTGGCAAAGATAGGGTAAAATAAGATTGCATGAGAAAGTGCTTATGAGTCAGTATGACTCTCCCAGGTATCTTCTTCCTTCACTCCGCAGAGTCAGGTGACTTATCATCCTGCACTGTGGCCTAAAGATTAGAGACACATTCCTTGGAGGGGGTAAAACAGGGTCTCTTTTTTTTTTTTTTTTATGGATTCTGATCTGTTGGAAAAACAGGGTCTCTTGACTGGAGGAAAATAGGCACAGCTGAGATCGGTAAAACTGTGAGGAAAATGAGGAATAAAGAAAGTTTACTTGCTAATTGTTATGGCCCCTGGTTTTCCTCTTGAAATGGGCCCTGAAACTGTCAACCAGCTTATTATACACTTCAGGTAGCAGAGTGAAGATCTGTTCAGGGGAACATGGCTAGCCCAAGACAAAAAGGCCGTAAGATATACCAGAGGTTCCCAGTGGAAGCCTGGCCAGATCTCCCTTCAGTGAGGCCTACAGTCAATACATCAACCATGTGCACAGAGCTTCACACACTTCTGGTGCCTCCCTCAAGTATGAATAAGAAACTTAGAATCACCAAACTTTTAAGGAAATATTCTAAAAATAAGGACAGGGGACTAAAAAGATGAAGGGGAAAAGCAACTTGGAAACATAAAAGTCTATGCTTGAAAAAGAAAACTAAAAAATAATTCTTTCACTACTAACATCAGAGAAACAAAAGACTTCATTATTGAAAAATAAAAAAGAGTGCCACAAAAAAATAGAGACCAAATTAGCTCTCAAAATTAAAAAATGATAGCACAAATGAAAACCAAAATTTAATAGAAGGGCTGAAAGAATAGATGAGGATTTCTCCTGGAATATAAGGGGGAAAAAAAAGGTTGGAAATGGAAAACATAAGAGTAAAAGGTAAACATAAGAGTAAAAAGTAAAAGGACCAGTCCAGGAGGTCTAACATCAACTCTCATTAGGGAGTTCTAGAAAGAAGGAATGATAATAATGGAGAAGAAATATAATCCAACAAGCCCCCCCAAATTCCTAGTACTACAGTGCATGAGTTTCCAGATCAAAAAGGCCCACTGCATCCCAGCACCATGGATGACAAGGGATCCACTCCAAGACATACGGAAACTGGCAGAAAGTCTGAGGCTTCATCAGTGAGAAGTACATCAAAACTGAGACTGTAAACCAAAAACTTTAGAGAACACAAAAAAGGCACACGGCAAAAGAAGTCACAGTGTACCTCATGGCTCAGCAGTAAATACTCCTTAAAAGGCCACCATTATGTAAACACCAAATGTTGTTCTCAACAAAGTTTACTACATGGGGAAAACTGGACAGGAAGGATGTGGCTGTGGTGGGGGCAGGGCTGTAAAACCAAACCCTCACCCTCTGTGATAACAGGTCAACAACAGATAAGGCCTAAACTGAACAAATAAAATCAAGTAGCCACAATACTGGCATGTTATTTAGAGACATAAAAGGAAATACTTAAAAGTTATAAGCTTGAGTTTGAAGAGTGTTTTCATTAATCTAAGAAAAATAAAAAAGAAAAAAAAAATTTTAATGTAAATTAAAAAAAAAAGTTAAAAGCAGCTGCTTTGGGGAGCGACAAGTATTGGGGAGCCAAAAGTATTAAGTTGGGATCAAAGGATTGCTGTGTTTTGGTAACAAGCCAATAGAACTATTTGATTCCTTTAAGTGTAATATTGAGTATAATTTTGATTTTTAAAAATTTTTAAAAATCACTCAATGTAATTTTATCTATCTATCTATCTATCTATCTATCTATCTATCTATCTATCTATCTATCATCTATGCACTATACTAACAAGGATGTCATGTGTTATTAATGACAGTCCCCAGTATGGCTTACTGTGTATTCTAACCTTGTGGAACCTCAAGGGAGCACTCAGAGAATGAGGCTGAGGAAAGACAATGGGCCTGTGTCCTGTTGCTCAGGGCTGCTGAGAAGGAAGGGCTGCTCCAGAAGGAAGACAATCCACGGCGCTTACAAGTTACAGGTTAAGAAAAAACCTGTGATTCATACAAGACCAAATTGAATCATATTCACTATTCATCTTTAATACTGAAACTTACCAAAAAACAAGAACATATTATAGAACTAAATGTTACTTCAGAAAACAAAAATATAAATAGTTTATGGACTACGACTGCACTCAAAGGGTAACAACAATGAACAGGAATGAGAACCTCTGAGTTACCATTTTCCACAGCTCCAGGCTGTCTGTGGAAGCCTAGAAAACTACTAAGGGGAACCACGTCATGCTTCCTGAAAATCATAACTTAATATGGACTCATTTACAAACCTGCACGATCTCCTTTTAGCGTGTCCCATACGTTACAGTTAAAGTCATCATAACCAGCTAGTAGGAGGCGCCCACTTTTTGAGAAGGCTACAGAAGTGATTCCACAGATGATATTGTCATGAGAATACAACAGCAACTCTTGGTCTGCACGAAGGTCAAAGAGCCGGCAAGTGGCATCATCAGAGCCAGTGGCAAAGGCATAGCCATTTGGAAAAAACTATAAAGAAAAGCAACAAACATTTATTCCATTGATGTAAATAAAAATGAGAGGCAGTGTAGTAATAGACTCTAGGGTAAGACAGATCTTGATGCAAATTCCAACGAGGCTACTTACCAGGTAAGTGATGTTGGACATTTAAGAGTCTTAAATACTCTGGGCCTTAGTTTCAGAGTGTTGGTCAGGATTGAATAAAATAACAGATGCAAAGTATATAGCTCATTATTTAGCACATAGCAAGTATTCAACAAATACTGCCTCTGGTGTCCTATATTTCTTATTAAAACATTTAAGTCAAATATTACTATTTATAGAATGTGTATGTATGTGGGTATATACATACATATTCATATTTTTTCTTTTTGTTTTTTAGAGATGGGGTTTTGCTATGTTGCCCAGGCTGGATACAGTGACTATTCACAGGCACAATCCTCACACATTACATACAGCCTCTAACTCCGGGCTCAAGCAATCCTCCAGCTTCAGCTTCCTTAATAGCTGGGACTACAGGCATGTGCTACTGTGCCAGCTTACATAAGTATTCTTAAAGAAATATTCAAAATCCCATTATAATAAATAAATAAATAGAACATAAATAAATTTAAAACATTCCGATTAGGCTAAGTAATAAAGAAAACTGTGAATGATTAGTTTGTGGATACCTCTTCTCAGATACTGGCACTACTCAACATTGACTTTTTTTTTTTGGAGACAGAGTCTTGCTCTGTTGCCTGGGCTACAGTACTGTGGCATCAGCCTAGCTCTCAGCAACCTCAAACTCCTGGGCTTAAGCAATCCTGCTGCCTCAGCCTCCCAAGTAGCTGGGACCATAGTAATGCACCAGCAAGCCCGGCTAATTTTTTCTATAAATATTTTTAGTTGTCTAGTTAATTTCTTTCTATTTTCAGTAGAGACAGGGTCTCACTCTTGCTCAGGTTGGTCTGGAACTCCTGAGCTCAAACGATCCTCCCACCTTGGCCTCCCAGAGTGCTACTGCTAGTATTATAGGTGTGAGCCACCACGCCCACCCCAGAGTTCAACACTTTAAAGGCAGAATACATTTTCTGTGAAGATCCTATTCACTTACACTGACAGCATTAATATCTGAGACGTGTCCTGTGAAAGACTGTCTACACATTCCATCTCGAATATCCCATAACTTGGAAGAGGCATCACAAGCACCAGAAACAAAAGTCCTCATGTCAGGACTCAGAGAGAGACTCATCACATCTCCAGAATGCCCAGTGAATGTGGTGGTCTGCTGGGCAGTTTCGATGTCCCATAAAGCACTACAATTAAAAATAAATAAAATATTTCATGACTATTATCTCTTCACGCATTAGCTCCTATTATTTCAGACCCCAAATTAGTGTTTTTCTGGAGTAAACTTACCAAGTTGTATCTCCTGAACTTGTAACAATTTGGCTGTCATCTAAAAAACGACAGCAGGACAAGTAGCCTACAGCACAGACAGAAGCAAATTTTAGGTTATCATTGACTGAATGACTCCAGTTACCATATAAAACAGTAATATATATCTTCAAAAATATAATGCCTGGACAACAAGTGGGCTTGTCAGTATAGTCTACAGTTCTACTTTTACTTACTTCAAACTCTGTGCTGTCTACAAGTAAATTTTATCAACAAACCTTCTCAGGCATTTAATGTGTCAATGACATTGTTCTGGGCACTCTGAAAGTTAGAAAGCTGAGTAAGACACAGCCCTCTAAGAAAATTACCTAGTGAGGGAAGATAATCCTTTACACAAATAACTATTAATATAATCTATGGCCAACTGTGTTAAGCACCTTTAAGAAATAATTTTAAAATATTGTGAGAAATTAGAAGAATATCAATGAAGGCTTTATGAAAGATATGACATCTAATTGACATTAAATAAAGATATGACATTAGCATTCATCAGTGTTTCCAAATATGGAAATGGCAGGGAAACACCATTCTAGAGATTTTGGTGAAAGCATGGTCAAACAGGACTGGCAAAAGTTCCAATGGGCAGACAACAGATGAATGGCAACAAATTCCTAACTAACACTGCTAACCAAATATGACTCTACTAAACTATGGTGTGCATACTGGCAGATAAAGCAATGCACTAACATGGTGAAAAATACTTCATTAATGTGCCTTAGTGCCTACTTTCAATTATATAATTGAGTATAGATGCCACAAGCCCTGTTATACAGTAGAAAACAGAGAAAATTATATTTGCTTTCTTTTTGTATTTTTCATTAGTTTGAATTTTTGGCAGTAAATTTATAATTTTTACAAAAACAATACTGCTATTTTTGAAAGAAAAATAAAATTGCAGTCATTGCATGTATGATTATAAAAAGTTAATGTTTTCCTAATTCATAGTAATTTCTACTCTCACCCAATTGTTATTCATCCTTTAGCCAGCTGAGCATAATTTGTCACTTGCCCTTGGATCAGCGCATTCTACAGAAAGAGCTAGGTTTGACTCCTTCACTAAAGAATGATGCTTAGTGAAGCTCACCTGTGTGGCCAGGCAACTCTCGGCTCACTCGCACATTCCCCTCTCTGGTCTTTAAGTTATATATGGAGCAGATGTTGTCCAGGCCTCCACAGGCAACATAGTTGCCAGAGGGAGCATAAGCACAGGTCATCACCCAGGAGGACCTCAAAGGAATAGCGTGCATCTGCAGAACACATTCCACACGGAACTATTACTAAACAAACACTACAAATCACACATTTATTTTGTAAACCTATTTACAATGAAGTACATATTACTAAAACTCAAATACATCTACGAAAAAGAAGCCAAATAAAAAATGTAATGGCTTGAATAGGTGAACAATGAAAAATAAAATACTCATGTAGATTAAAATGCCTGTTATTTTTTTCTGTATTATTGAATCAGAGTTAGGAAGTACTCTTTTTAGAAATACATGAGGATGTTTTCAATGCTAATGCAGACAGTTGAAAAATTACGTATAAAATGTTAAAGATTTTAATAAAATTATTTGTTTTTGCAGTACTGCTGAAATGAATTTCCTCCAACATAACACTGAATGATAAAAAGCGAGGTAATCAGCAAGTATCAGAGTTGATTAAGATGGTTCTTCCATGAAGGGATGACATTACCATCCTTCTAGTAATAGGCACTTATTCTGGGATCTCACTTAAACAATGGTGACAGTTTTGCATTGATCTACCACAGTATGGTGCCTTGTTATCCCAACATCAATCATTTGAAGGTCAGATAGAAAAATTCAACATATATTGGGAATACTAAGGAATTAAAATATTAATAAAAATACTTTAAATCAGGGATTCTTTCCAGTGGATGTATGAAAAGAATCCACAGTCTTTCACCACTGAGAGATCTAAAGAACTTGTAATTTGCCCCAATCTACTGTATCTTCTAAGCAGTCCAGAAACACAAATCAGTGCCTGGAGTGGGCCAAAGAAAAGCTTCACTCTAGTCATCTAGCTCACTCATAACTAGAAATAAAAATCTTAGAGTCACTGTCATATTAAGAAATGGGATTTAAAAACAAAGTCATTTATATGTAAAAATGGTACTTTTTCCTAATATTTAAATTTGAAATATGAGAGTCAAGTAAAAAATAGTGATCAATATTTCTGTATATAAATAAATATATTTTCTGAAATAAATAAATTGCCTTTGGAAATAAAAAAGGGCCAAATATTAAAGACAAACACTAAGACAAAGGAAAAGATCTAGATTAAAATAAATAGAATAAATTTTTCTCAGAAGGCAATTAAAGTTTGAAGCAATAAAGGAAAGAATTGCAGGATGGCAAACCAAATACAAGTTTATTTAAAAGAATGATTAAGAAATTCTACCTTATTTGTTGTATAGCTATCCCAAATAATTAATTTTCCATCTTGGGAAGCACTGACTAGTAGCCTAGAGGAACAAACACAAAAATAATTTGATACTTAGAGGGAAAAGGTAGTTTAGTTGTATATTACATTAATACAGAATAGTTCAGAAAAGAAAAATACCATTTTTCTAAAAACTTGACACCAAGAAATGTTCTTCCAACTTTTTTGGGGGGCGGAGCAGGGATAGAGTCTCACTCTTTTGCCCAGGCTAGAATGCCGTGGCATCAACCTAGCTCACAGCAACCTCAAACTCCTGGGCTCAAGTAATCCTCCTGTCTCAGCCTCCCGAGTAGTTGAGACTACAGGTATGCGCCATCGTGCCCGGCTAATTTTTTCTACATATATTTTTAGTTGTCCAGCTAATTTATTTCTATTTTTGTTTTAGTAGAGACAGGGTCTCAGTCTTGGCTCAGGCTGGTCTCGAACTTCTGAGTTCAAACGATCCACCCACCTCAGCCTCCCAGAGTGCTAGGATTACAGGCGTGAGCCACCACGCTCAGCCTAACTTTAAAAAAATTTATGATGCATACCAAAAATTTTGAACATAAATCATAAAGTTGACTGTGACTCATCAACTGACAGTGTCATAGGTACCATACAGGATACATCTCCTGTTCTTGAGGCCTCTACCTTCTGGTGGAGATAAGACATTTACTCATATTTATAATAAATCAAGTACGTGAAAACTTAGGAGAGTGGTACAAAATAAATGGCATAGGAGAGTAAAGGAGGCACAAACAACAGCTAGTTGAATTAATCAAAGAAGAATATATCTTAAAAAATGAAATTTTGAGAGCAAAAGATAGGGGAAAGTCTTTATGTTAGGAGGAGGTTTAATATGATCAATGACAAGAGGTAGAAAAATATGACAAGTGTTTCAGGAATTGTGTGTCTTTCAGTCATATAGAATTTGTGAGAAAAAAATAAATTGAGAAAAGTAGACTGGGCTTAAACTGCGAAAGCTTTGCCAAGCTAAGGAGTATGAACTTTTGACTAAGTAATTATTAACCAATTAATTTTTTGTTTTGTTTGGAATTTTTATTTTTCACCATGATATAAAATTCAAAAGATACAAAAGAGTATGCAGTGAAAAAATCATCTTCCTAGGCCCACCCCCAGCCACCAAGTTCCCTTCCCTACAGGTAAACATTACCAGGTTCCTATGTATCATCAATCACTTTACGTTTTTATGAAAAGAAAAGATCTAATAGTGAGGTATGGGTGGAACATAAAGAACATTACTTTAAAAATCAGTTGGAATCATCAGCATATGAGCTGAGAATAGCATTAAGTAACGAGCTGATAATCAGAATGAGTAGAAAGACAATGTGAGATAGGTTCCTACATGATATCTTTGTTTTTTTATGAAGATTAATAATCTTGAGAAAATTTTTAAGGAAAGTAAGAATCACTAACATTGTTTGAAGTTATTATATTTTGAGTTAAAAAAAGTCTACTATATCAATAGGTAAATTATGTTTATCTTAAACTTTAAGAAAAAGAATAGGCCAGGCGTGGTGGCTCATGCCTGTAATCCTAGCACTCTGGAGGCTGAGGCAGAGGGATGGCTTTGAGTTCAAGAGTTCGAGACCAGTCTGAGCAAGAGTGAGACTTCATCTCTACTAAAAAATAGAAAGAAATTAGCTAGACAACTAAAAATACATATAGAAAAACTTAGCCAGGCATGGTGGCGCATGCCTGTAGTCCCAGCTACTTGGGAGGCTGAGACAGGATCATCACTTGAGCCCAGGAGTTTGAGGTTGCTCTGAGCTAGGCTGATGCCATGGCACTCTAGCCCAGGCAACAGAGTGAGACTGTGTCTCAAAAAGAAAAAAATTAAAAAAAGAAAAAGAATAAAACATTTGCCCTAGTCTTATGTCAGTTGTCAATTATAGAACTTACATATCCCCTCCTAAGAGGCACATATTCTATATACTGTGCTCAAGTATTCCACTGACATCTGAGAGCAACAAATGAGGCTTCCTCTACTTGACAATTTTACTGTCTCCTAGAAGAAGATAATAAATGTGTAACTTCTTTTTTTTTTTTCAGACAGAGTCTCACTTTGTTGGCTGAGCTAGACTGCTGTGGCATCAGCCTCGCTCACAGCAACCTCAAACTCGTGAGCTCAAGCGATCCTCCTGCCTCAGTTGCCCGAGTAGCTGGGACTACAGGCATGCGCCACCATGCCCGGCTAATTTTTTCTATATATTTTTAGTTGGCCAATTAATTTAGTTCTATTTTTTTTTTTAGTAGAGATGGGGTCTCGCTCTTGCTTAGGCTGGTTTCGAACTACTGACCTTGAGTGATCCTCCCACCTCGTCCTCCCAGAGTGCTAGGATTACAGGTGAGAGCCACCACGTCCGGCAAATGTGCAACTTCTACTAAAAAGTAATTTCTTGCTTTGGACACTTCCTATTTTCAGTAGAGATGGGGTCTCGCTCTTGCTTAGGCTGGTTTCGAACTACTGACCTTGAGTGATCCTCCCACCTCGTCCTCCCAGAGTGCTAGGATTACAGGCGTGAGCCACCGCACCCGGCAACATAGTGAATCTTGATGACCAAAACATCTAACTGCAGGCCAGGTGGCAGCTGCGTGCGTGCGTGCGTGCGTGTGTGTGTGCATGCACTTACAGATGGTCAACTTGCACATTCAAGCACATGCATTTCTGAGTTGGGGTTGGGAGAATAAAAGATGTATCAATGGAAATATCCTCATTTCATGTAATTCCATCATCTGTGAATTTATGTAATAAGTAATCATAGCTTTGTCCAGTAACTTGTACACAGTGTTCAATAAATATTTGCTTATTAAGATTTCAAGGTTAATATAGAGTAAACCTGCTTTTGGTGTATTAAAAAACAAAGTATAATATCCCACTACAAAGAAAAGAAATCCTCTTCTAAACACCTGTCCAGGATTATTGGATAAAGGATATTTTTGAGAGATATTTTTAAAAGCCATATTAAAGGCTTTTAAACCTTGAAAGTGTCAATGAATATTCTTACTGAAAGCAAAGTGTCAGTTTAGATGCACTTTCTGTAAATACTTCATAAATACAGTTTGTTTTTGTAGAGAAAGTAAATAAAAATGCAAATGATGATTCCTAATAAAAATAGTTCTGCTGACAATTTGAAAATGACAAGTACAAACCTTGAATCATATCCCCAATGCATAGCATAGATCTTAGCTAGGTGGCCCCTCAGCGTACGTCTTGTCCGCATTTGTATTCGACCCACAGAGTCCATATTTGACGTGATCTTTAGAAAGTGACAAAAATGTTATTCTTTACCTTAGACATAGTTCAGGAGATAAACTAGAAATAATTAATTAGTAAGCAAAAAAGCAAACACAAGTAAATCTATAGTAATTGAAGGTAATTTAATATATATAATTTCACAGAGTTGTCATGGGATGAATATGTTCATAAAAATTATGATTAATTTAAAATAATCCTGTGTGCTATTTATTATAGGTAAGAATATCTTCTGTAGATTATTAATTACAAACAATACACACAACCTTTAAATCTTAATAAAAATGCAGCTACAAATAAAAATCTAGTAGCAACATTTATAATTTTAATTGTCTGTAAGAAAGTCAGTTTTATATTTGTAGAGCACATAAAATATTTCCTTAATAAAAATGATCAATATTAATTAAACATGAAGCCTTCCTAAGAGTTTTTATAAGAAAAGAAAACTTAATCAGAGTATACCAAAAAGAATCAGAAACTACTTTAAAATCTATAATATACCATTTATTGTTCTAAAGACTTCTATTTTAACATTGTTTTAAAAAGCACTTGGTAATGTATAGTATTTGGCATATTACAAAGTGATTTTACATAGCGATTTCATTTCATTTTTTTCAATTAAGTACTAATAAAAGGAATCTGAATGTTATTTGCATCAGTGTTATTTTGTGTAAGTTACTAAAATGAAATAAGGAGAAAAAAAACTTTACCTGCACAAGGGTTGCATCATTACATGCTTTCCTAGCATCCTAAAGTAAAGAAAAATGAGTATAGCACATTTAGATGTGGAAACCTCTAGAAATGACTAAAGTAATTTTTAACAAATAAATTACAGCTTACACTAAAGTAATATTTTAATTAAAAATGTAGATTTGCAAATATACTTTTCAGTATACCATATAATCTTTATTTTTCAATTTTTTTATTGAGATAAAATTCACATAACATAAATTTAACCATTTTAACCATTTTAAGGTATATAATTCAGTGTTTTTTTGTATACCGACAATGTTATGCAACCATCACTACTAATTCCAGAACATTTCCATCACTCTAAAAATAAATCCCATACTCCCAAATCCTTTTTCTCCCCTAGGCCTCAGCAATCACTAATTTATTTTCTTTCTCTATGGCTGTGTCTGTCCTGGACATTTCATATAAGTGGAATCATACAACGTGTGGCCTTTTGTGTCTGGCTTCTTCACTCACCACCATGTTTTCAAGGTTCATCTGTGTAGTAGCATGTATCATTACTTGATTCCCTTATGGCTGAATGCTAACCCACTGTGTGGATATACCACTTTTTGTTTATCTACTAATAAAAAATGATAAACATTTGAGTTGTTTCCACATTTTGGCTATTATGAATAATGATACTATGAACATTTATATACAAGTTCTTGGTGTACCCATGTTTTCAATTCTCTTGGCTATATATACCTAGGTGTAGAATTGGTAGGTGACATGGTAACTCTATGTTTTTATTTTGTTTTTATTTTTTTTTTCGAGACAGAGTCTTATTCTTGTTGTCCCGGCTAGAGTGCCATCGTGTCAGCTTAGCTCATAGCAACCTCAAACTCCTGGGCTCAAGCCATCCTCCTGCCTCAGCCTCCCAAGTAGCTGGGACTACAGGCATGCGCCACCATGCCCGGCTAATTTTTTCTATATATATTTAGCTGGCCAATTAATTTCTTTCTACTTTTAGTAGAGACAGGGTCTTGCTCAGGTTGGTCTCGAACTCCTGAGCTCAAATGATTCACCCACCTGGGCCTCCCAGAGTGCTAGGATTACTGACATGAGCCACTGCGCCCGGCCTGTAACTCTATGTTTAACTTTTCAAGGAACTACCAAATTGTTTTTCACACCAGCTACACCATTTTACACTCCCACCAGCCATGTATGAGAGTTTCAATTTCTCTGCATCCCCACCGACACCTGTTATTGTCCATTGCTTTTATTATTATAATTATTACAACCATCTTGGTGTGAAGTGGTATCTCACTGTTGTTTTGATTTGTATCTTCTTAGAGATTAACGATGTTGAGCATCTTGTCATGCACTTATTGGCCATATGTACATATCTTCTTTGGAGGAATGTCTGTTGAAAGACTTTGCCAATATTTAAATTGGGTTGTATTTTTATTGTTCAGATGTAGGAGTTTCTTATATATACTGGATACTAAGACCCTTATATGATTTGCAATTTTTTCTCCAGTTCTATCAGCTATATTTTCATTTTCTTGATAGTGTCTTTGGACACACAGGTTTTTAAGTTTGATGAAGTCTAATTTATCTGTGCTTTCCTTTGATGCTAGTGTCATATTTAACTGTTGTCTAGTTCAACATCATGAAGATTTACATTTATGTTTACTTCCAAAAATTTTACACTTTTAAACAGTACATTTATGTCTCATTTTGAGTTAATTTTGTATATGGTTGAGGTGGGGAGTCCAAATTCATTCTTTTGCATGTGGATATCCAGCTGTCCCACTACCATTTGTTGAAAAGACTATTTTTCCCTATTGAATGATCTTGTTACCCTTGTTACAAATCAACTGATCATAAATATATGGATTTATTTATGGACTCTCAATTCTATTCTCTTTTTCTTCTTCTTTTTTTTTTTTTAGACAGAGTCTTGCTTTGTTACCCAGGCTAGAGTGAGTGCCATGGTGTCAGCCTAGCTCACAGCAACTTCAAACTCCTGGGCTCAAGCAATCCTTCTGCCTCAGCCTCCTGAGAAGCTGGGAGTACAGGCATGCGCCACCATGCCCGGCTAATTTTTTCTATATATATTAGTTGGCCAATTAATTTCTTTCTATTTATGGTAGAGACGGGGTCTCGCTCTTGCTCAGGCTGGTTTTGAACTCCTGACCTCAAGCAATCTGCCCGCCTCGGCCTCCCAGAGTCCTAGGATTACAGGCGTGAGCCACTGCACCCGGCCTCAATTCTAGTCTCATTGTACAAATATACTTTTGGTTTATGATAAAATATCTTTTAATTGCATCCTGTGATTAAAAATGATCTAGGTTGATTTAGTAAGTCCTTACTATTCAAATTATATTTGTTACTAAGCATCAGCAAAAATCAAGAGTTCTGAGTTTCCTTCTATTTGTTTTTGCATCTAAAAGTTGAGGTGATATGTATAGTATACTATTAACGTAACATTTATAAGAGGAAGGATTTTTATAGTATACTCTAAGTCATTTCAGAAATACTAAAAAAAAATACAAAACATTTCTTGAAAATGCTTTGCAAATATACTGTGTTAGATGCTATTAGACAGAAAGTATTTGATTCAGTATGTAAAAACGATATCTCAGGAAAATAATTTTTTATGTAATAGGCAACAATTTACATTGAGTGGCATCTATATTTTTATACCAACAGCAAATTCCCTACATGTTAGCAGGTATTTATGACTAAGCATTATAAAGTAGCCTTTTAAAGAAACTCCAAATTTTTATACAAATTGAAGGGAATTATCAAAAGGAAGACAGTGAAACAGAAATTGACATAAAATAAGAAAGACAACAAAGAACAATAAGTAATAAAACATTTTAAGCCAAATTTATCAGTTAATAAAAAATTTAGAGAATTCAAATACATGGGAAAATCAGAAGTGGAATTAATCCTTCCTGCTAGACTTAAATTTTTTTTCCTCAAAGGGTAGGATAATATCCTCTTTAACTTTGTTTTTTCTCTACAGTGCTTAGTACTGTATACTACTAGGCAAAGAGAAGGCACACAATATTTATTGAATAAATGTTCCAAATGGACAACTTGTTCCAGTCGGCCAAGGGAGAAATGCCTGCCTCAGCTCACAGCAAAGACTGGATTGAAGATATGACCTTTTGGCTGCCCTTTCCACCTATTTATAAACACTCAGAATATTTCTATGTAAGGGTGTTCACAAGCAATCGCACAAACATATGATTTGATTCTCTCATTCTTAGCCAAATTGTGGGTTTAGAGACCTCATTTGGCAAGGAATAATTTACCCCACATTCCTACAATGAAAAGAATTTCCAGAAATGACAGTGATGGCCTTAGCCATGTTCCAAAAATGGTGAAATTGAAGATTAAAATTCTAAAAAGAGATTCTCTAATTTCAAGCTTTATGAAAATGAACTATCTCTGTTTAGGCCATCTTTCTTGATTTAGTCAATTGATAGAAAAATTGGTTGAAAGACTATGTGTCAGGCACTATTCTAGGCACCATGGATACATCAGTAAACAAAAAAACTCCATCCTCACAGAGCTTACATTAACAATTTAAAAACTGTAAATGAAAATTATTGAACTATAGTGAAAATCAGTACAAAAATTAAAACATTATGTTGGAATACAAAAATTCTACAAACATCTTAGCAGTGGTTACTTGCAAATTTACATTCTGCAAAGATTTTGTTCGCCTGGAGAAGAACTTACTCTTATGAACACTATTATCCACTATAAAACTGAATCTAAAGCAAATATTCTCAATTAAAGGCTGAATTCCATACTGTCCACCTCAAGAAATAGTCTGATATTAACATCTTTGTGCAAAAGAAGACATATTTCTTGTTCCAAATCAAAGATGTAACAATTACAAAAGAAAACAAAATCTGTTTTCTCTACTTGAATTTAAAATTCTTTCTCTAGCATAGGGAGCTGTGTTCTTTTTGTTTATGTTTGTTCTTTTTTCTCTAAAGCAAGAGACTATATGGCCTTCAGTGCAAAAACTTCAGACCAATTCTTTGTATTACACTTGGTTGCCTCTTGGCTATATAACTTCTGAGTGCAAATCATTGAACTATTGAATGAAGTACTGTAGAGAATAAATCATAATGGATAAAATTTTTAAAAAATAAAATACCTTCTCTACATTGAATTTAAAATAAATCATCTATTAAACCAAATAACACACATTTCTATTATGCCATATGTTTATAACATAGTTAGGTAAAAATATAGTTAGATTATATTTCTGGAATGGCAGAAGAAAGAAAATAAAGAAGGAAGGGAGGGTTTTTAAATATAGTGAGACATGATTAAAATGAAAAGAGAAGTACATAGTATTTTATATATATGGGGTTACTTGAAATCACAGGGGGAAATGATTCAGTAAGCTCCTGTGCCCATGACATTGTGCTGGGGATGCTGTGAGATATGGAGATGATAAAGACACAGAGTTTTCCATCCAAGGACAAGTATTAGGGGCAAATGTGCACAAGGAACTATAATACAAGACAGACCATGACTGATCCCATAAGAGTCTAGCGTGCCATACAAGTAAGGAACTGCCACCTGCTGGCATTAGACTAAGTCCTTTATGTGTTACTTCATTTAATCCTCTGCACAGATATATAAAGTGAACATTGGTACTCTTGCTTCACGGCAAAGATACAGAGCATCAAAAAAGTAAAGGAACTTGCCCATGGCCACAAAGTGATGAAAAGGTGGAGTCCATGCATGTTCCACCACACCACGCTGCCTTCCAAGAAAAGAAAGAATGAATTCAAGCGGAGGACCCTTGGAGGATCAAGACTCTGTGGGTAGATCTAGCAAGAGGTGGTATAATTCCAGGTAAAGGAAATAATCTGATCAAAGGCAATGAGGTGGGAAAGACTAATGCATGTTTCGGGAGCAGCAACCTGTGAGTATTGCTGCAGAACAGGGTGCCGGGAAGCATGCTAGGAAAAAAGGGCAGGAGGCAGTGCAGCACTGGTGACAGAGCACATGCTGTGAAATCGAAACGTGGCCAGTCTGAATCGTGGACCTACTATTTACTAGTTATGTTACTTTGGCAAGTTATTTAATCTCACTGAGCTTCAGATTCCTCAACTACACCATCTACTTCACAGGGATGCTGTGAGGAATAAATGAGATGGCAACTGACCACAAGTCTGGCCAATCAGTTGCTCCTGCTCAGCATGTGGAGTAAGTGATAACTCGTTCTGGTGGTGGCAGTGACACTAATTCAGAGGTTAGCCTGTGAAACCTTCTCTGATAATCCCAGGCAACATAAATCCCTCCTTTGTTCTGAAAGCTTTGCTCAGACCCCTAAGGTATCAACTTAGAATCCTTATTCACATCTAAGTCACTGAATTCCTTGAACTCCTGGCAGTGAGTCTGGTGAGGACTTCACTCCACTCAGAACCAGCACTTTTCTGGTCAACGTTCTTCATTCGTCCCTTGTTTTTCCTGATGTTTTATTCTCTTGTCTTGTAATATCTTTGTATAGATTGTATTCTTCATTTCTAAATTAGACAAGTTCTTCTGAAATAGCTATTGCAAAAGGTTCACATTAGGAAGGCCCATAGCTGTGTTCCAAGTTATCAGAGATTCTCCCTGCTTATATTTGTAAATTGTTCTAGCCTTTACTTTGCCGTATGAAAGGAAGCAGGTAGCTGCCAGGCTACTCACAACTCAGTCTCTTTCCCCTACCCTGCTCTCCAACAGGCTTCCTACAAGATAGCAGGCCTACATCCTTTCATTTTAGCTCTGCCTTCCTCGATACTCCTCAGTACTAACGAAGTCCAAGGAAGCATGTGTTTCCATTGTTCCACAGAAGGGACTGTTGGTGCTGTCCTTAGAGAATGCTGCCTACTTGGTATGAGATTTACAACTGTAGGCACCTTCTCTCAAAGCCTTCCCACCTGCAGTCGCTTCACAGTGTTTCCAACTTTTCCCCACACTATTATGGCTTGAAGTTCTAAGTGTCTTTTAATTTTCTCAAAGCTAAAGCTTGTTACTTGTTTTTTATCCTTCTTAGTGTTTGAGTTCATCTGCAGGAGTATTAGGTATGTCTTGATCTTGCCATTAATAATTTTTAAAGTTTCCCTGAAATCTAATGTAGACATTAATATTTTCCTAGTATATTATAAGGTGATATTATCTGCTTCATCGCATTATACCAAAAACTCTATTATTCCAGGTATGTGAATAAGAAGAGAATTATGGGGATGGTTAATGAGTACAAAACCATAGTTAGATAGAATGAACAATATTTGATAGCACAACAAAGTGACTATAATCAACAACAAGTTAGGGTATACTTTAAAATAACTAAAAGAGTGGAATTGGAATGTTCCTAACACAAAGAAATGATAAATGCCTGAGGTGATGGATACCCCAATTACCCTGATTTGATTAATTCACATTGTATGCCTATATAAAAACATCACTTGTACCCTATAAAGATATACAACTATTATGTACCCATAATAATTTTTTTAAAAAGAAGACAACTATGTTTGTCTTTCAGCTGAGATTACAGATATACTATTAACTTCTCAGGCCACAGAGGCCGTTCTTCCGGATAGGTACTCATTAGGAATGGTTTTTGGTGAGTTCTTTAGAGGCATGATAAACACAAAGAGACTTTAGCTCTTAGTTTATATGTAAGAAAAAAATATTTCTAGCCTTATAAATTATTTAATATATGTAGACTGATAAATAAGCAAATTTTATACATTGCTGATACTAAATAAATGTGTTAAAATTTCAAAATGAAAAGTTTTTACCTGAATCTGATTCCGCAGTTGTTCTGCTTCCTGCCTCAACTGTTCCAGCTCACTCATCCTTTGAATCTGTTTACGTCAGGAATTAGTAAGTGAAAGCAACTGTTAAAAAACAGAGAGAAAAGTTAAAAAAAACACACAAAGATTCAGTTTTCCATTGACATCTCAATATACTTTTAAAATACTGACATATAACTTTTTTTTTTTTGAGGCAGAGTCTCACTTTTGCTGTGCGGGCCAGAGTGCCATGGCATCAGCCTAGCTCACAGCAACCTCAAACTCCTGGCTCAAGCATCCTCCTGCCTCAGCCTCCCGAGTAGCTGGGACTACAGGCATGCACCACCATGCCCAGCTAATTTTTTCTATATACTTTTTAGTGTGGCCATTAATTTCTTCCTATTTTTAGTAGAGACAGGTCTCGCTCCCTTGCTCCAGCCTGGTTTGAACTCTGACCTTGAGCAATCCACCTGCCTTGGCTCCCCCAGAGTGCTAGGATTACAGGAGTGAGCCACCTCACCGGGCCATAGCTTCTTTTTTTTAAGGTTTTATAAGTCTCACTGCCTCTTTTTTTTTTTTTTTTTTTTTTTTTTTTTTTAGCATATCACCAGGGTACGAATGTTTAGGTTACATTTGTTGCCTTTGCCCTACCCAAGTCCATTCCCCAGATGGTATGCACTGTACCCATTAGGTGTGAATATACCCATCCCCTCCTCCTACTGACACCAGATGAATGTCACTACTATATGTGCATATAAGTATTGATCAATTAATACCAATTTGATAGTGAGTACATGTGGTGCTTGTTTTTCCATTCTTGGGATACTTCAATTAGTAGAATGGGCCCCAGCTCTAGCCAGGATAATATGATAGGTGCTAGATCAACATTGTTTTATATACCACATTTTATTAATCCACTTGTGTACTGATGGGCACTTGGGTTGTTTCCACATCTTTGCAATTGTGAATTGTGCTGTTATAAATATTCCAGTGCAGATTTTTTTTTTTTATAGAACCAACATATAACTTCTTTTTGGTTTTTCTGAAACTCAAGTGAGATAGTCAATTACTACTGGAATTTAAAGCTACTTACTAAATATAGATCTAGATTATTTAGTGAAGAGTTTTATGCAACAATGATCAGAAGATGTAAGAGAAATGCTGAGTTGTAGTATTCAAGACTGAATTATGGGGAATTAATACTAGAATAGAGTCCAGTAAGAAATACTTCTCAATAGTTCAGAGGGCACCAAGAGACACCCCCACTTGGATATCCGGACAGGAACCGCAAACTTAACATTTCAAAACTGAACCCTACCCCACGCCCAAGTCTTTCCCATCTCAGTAAATGGCAATTCCATCCTTCCAATAATTTAAGCTAAAAAATCTGTGAGTCATTCTTCTCTGTTTAGCTTACTTTCCCCATCTAGTCCATCAGCAAATCATATCCCTTAAAAAATTTATCCAGGATCTGCCTCAATCTGATTGTCTCCACTTCTCCACCTGCCTAGGTCAAGCCACCTGGTCTCCTTTATACTGCCCGTGACCACTCTCTAGTCTAGTCTGACTAGAGCAACTAGAGACTCTTTTAAAAAACAAGTCACTCTTGTGCTTTAAATCCCCCAATGGCTTTCTACTCCAATTGGAGTAAAGCTGAACACTTTATCTTGACCTGCAGAACCCTGCTGTAACTCCCTCTTTACACCACACACCACCCACACATACACACACACACACACACACACTCACTCTGACCTCACTATCATGTTCCCATTACTCTGCTCCAGCTGCTCAAAACTTCTGTGATGTTCCTTGAACACAATAAGTGCTCCAGCCTTGGTGTCCATACATGCTCTTCCGCTGCCTGGACCCCTTGCCCCTGTATTTTGATGCCTTGCCCCCTTCCATCTACTCAGATGTGATCTTCGCAGTGGGGCCTTTGCTGATAACACACACACCAACCACTCCTCCTCTTTAGCGCTCTCCCTACCTTACTTTCACTATACGAACACCACCATCTAGTAAATATGTATTTACTATATTTGTGGTCTGTTTCCTCCTGGTAACGTAAGCCCTTGGGCAAGGTCTCGTGTTGCTTTGATCTTTGTATATCCCATCACCTAAGACACTTTGGTCGCCAGTAAATGAACCAACCTGAAATAGCTTAAGAATAAAGGAAATTTCATTCTAAGGATTTAGATGAATCACAGAACCCAAAGACAGGAATATTGCTACCTCAGGAAGAAACTCAAGGCTAGAAACTAGTATATCTTCATCTGTCTTCTTTTCTCTTCACATCTGCTTTGTTTTTTCTTTCTACCACAATGACTTTCTCTGTTTCTCCAAGCACAAAATCCAAGTTTATATCTTTAGGTCAAGACTGTAGCCCCAAATCACTGTCCCAACTCCAAACTCCCATAAAAAGAATTGGATTCCCATTCCAAGAAATAGTTTCTGATGTCTATCCTTTGTTCACAATAGCTATGGTAAAAATATGTTTGTTATTTCAGAATAACTTAATTCATTTTGTCACATTAAATAAATCTAGGCCGGGCGAGGTGCCACGATATAATCCTAGACTTTGGAGGCCGAGGCGGGCGGAAATGCTATACAGTCAGAGTTCGAAACCAGCCCTGAGCGAACCCCATTCTTCTACAAAAATACAAAGAAATTAATGACCACTAAAAAATATATACAAAATTAGCCCGGGCATGGTGCCATGCCTGTAGTCCCAGCTACTCGGACTGGCCAGAGGTCGCTTGAGCCCAGGAATGGGTGCTCCCCTTGAGCGGGCTGAGCCATGCACTCAATCTAGCCGGGGCAACAAGTGAGACTCTGTCTCAAAAAAAAAAATAATAAATAATAAAAATAAATAAAAATAAAAAAAATAAATCTATAGGGATTGATTGGCATGGCATTAAGTATAAAGAAGTTTGAGAAGAACTGAAATTCTCTTTCTTATTTCATTTTTCATTTAATACTGTGGTATATCTCTCCGTTTATCTAAATGTTCTTTATTTTCTACTTCTTCACCATCCCTTATTTATTTATTTATTATTGTTTTTGAGACAGACGTCTCGCTTTGGTTGTCCAGGCTAAGATGAGTGCCCGCTGAGATCAGCCTACTCACAGCAACCTCAAACTCCCTGGGCTCAGCACATCCTCCTGCCTCAGCCCCCAATAGCTGGGACTACAGCATGTGCCACCATGCCCGCTAACTTGATTTTATATATAACATCAGTTGCCAATTAAAATTTCTTTTCGTTTATAGTAGAGATCAGGAATCCTTGTTCCTTGCTTAGGCTGGTGTTGAACTCCTGACCCGGTAATCCGCCTACCTCGGCCTCCCAGAGAGCTAGGATTACAGGCGTGAGCCACCACGCCCAGCCACCAGTGTTATTCTTCTATGAAGTTTGACAATTTAGTATGTTCCTTAGAAAGTACCAGACTGGTTAGATCACAGCCAGTTTGGAATATCATTCTGGTCTCAAACTCTTGGTCTCAAGTGATCCTCATGCCTCAGCCTCCCAGAGTACTAGGATTATAGGTGTGGGCTACCACGCCTGGCTGGAATATCACTCTGCCAAACCGAAGATAACCAACCAAGATATCCAGGTTCTTTAAAGTTACAACTCTAGTTGCCCTTGATATCCCTGGCCCCAAAGTCCTAGAAACTCTGACTGGTTTTGACACTCCTTTATTTCTGGATTCCAAAACATCCTGAGCAAGCAGGACTAGTTTAGGTCCCTACTACTTTGCTGATGTATTAATACTAGAAGAGGCCCAAAAGTGTCTCAGAATTTTTAAGCACATTCAAAACTACCTATTACCCACCCTTACTGCTGTCCCACCGCCAAAGCCACACCTACATATAGGTGACCCTCTAAAGCAGCTACTTTCTGCAGCAACGGCTACTTGGCACAGACTGTGACCTGTACCAAAAGAATGAGATTTTCCAGGCTGAGTGCCCCAAAGGGTGGAGATATTATGAATACAAATGGCAAAGACAAAGTAGTTCCCTTTATCACCACCCTCCATGAATGGGGCACTGATGGGAGAGGCGATCCGCCATGGCCCGAGTGTTCCTGCACATTCTTGCTGGGAATGCCACGAATACAAGGCCCTAGTGGCTTTACCTGGGCCATCTCTCAGGGTTGTATTTAAAATGAGCAACCTTGAGGGATAAGACGATGTCTTCCACAAGACAAAGAGGCGGCTTACTTCTACCTACCACAAAAGTGGTAAATTCCCCAAGCTTACTGTCTCTAGGCTGTGACGCAAATCCCATGTAAATGCAGCATCCACCTGGGCCCTCCTGTGCCACCTCATGGGAACTAGGGAGTATGGGGAACCAACATGAACCATCAAGCCACAGCATCAAGCCATGCTACCTGCTGTGCTGTAATAAAATCTTTCCCAAGAAGTCTCATGGCTTCTGCCAGCATCCATGAAAGAGTAATGGGCTAATTGATTAGCTTGTAAATAGGTAAAAATCCCAGACCCTCTGCAGTCCTTGACAGGGATTAAGGTTCTTAAGAAAAAAGATGAGGGGGGCCAATGTGGAAAATAGTGAGATTGCAGCACATCCTTTCTTATCAAGATTAGATTTCAAGTCCAGCACTTCATCAAGAATTTCTCCAGTTCTATTTTGGCCAGGCACAGTGGCACATGCCTGTAATCCTAGCACTCTGGGAGGTCAAGGTGGGCGGATCGCTTGAGCTCAGGAGTTCGAGACCAGCCTGAGCAAGAGCGAGACCCTGTTTCTAAAAAACAACAGAAAAAATTAGCCGGGCATGGTGGTGCATGCCTGTAGTCCCAGCTACTCGGGAGGCTGAGGCAGGAGGATCGCCTAAGCCCAGGAGTTTGAGGTTGTTGTGAACTAGGCTGACACCACGGCACTGTAACCTGGGCAGCAGAGTAAGACTCTGTCTCAAAAAAATAAAAGAATTCACCAGTACCCTAGCTTCCCCTGCCCTTCCATAATGTCTTGTCACACTCAGTAGACAAAACCACACCTTGGATGAACTCAGCTACCTACTTTCTTTTAGCCAGCACTCAAGTAGCCAAACATTGATTAAGAAAGTTAAACAATGGGGCCTATCAGT